CCTTTAACCAATAGCACGAACGATACAAACGAAAGCGAAAGATGTGAGGCCGAAATGACACGCAGGGCTAGGCAAGTTTGAGTTCGCGCTTGAGTAGTGGTCCGGGAGCGAAGGGACTTGCAAATGATGGAACGCCGCAACCGGGCCCACGGCATGAACGCGGCGCAGCCATTCTCCAAAGCAAACGATATCGAGGAGCGTTCAATCGCGTGCTGCAACAGCTGTACGGCATTCGACCTTAATAGTTTGGCAAAAACAAAGTGCTGAACTCTATTTAAGCGGCTGAAGAATTCAAAGATGAGATACTTGCGTAAGTACCACTGCACGTTCCTTATGCTTCTGCTTTATTTTGAACTAGCAAAGATGAAATCTCTCACCTAAATCTGCTGGAATCAAAAGTCGACTCAGAAATGCAATGCAGAACATTGCCATTCCCAATGAATAGAAGGGAAGCCGAAATCCTCCCAGATCATAGAGCATCCCTCCCAGAAATGGTCCCAAGGAAAAACCAATACCACCACAGGTTTGAAGAATTCCCTGACATACGTAAAGCATGAGCCACAAACATTTGCAAACCAAGAGTGATTAGTTGCCAGAATTGTAGAGAGCATGTTCGGGAAGGTATTTGCATTTATAGTGAAGCTCGACGTGATAAATGCAGCTTCACCAATTCCTTGTAATATTCGTATGATAAGACTAGCGATGAAAAACCACCTTCTAGAGGGTATCAAGTCAATAAATCTGTAAACATAGGTATCTTAATGTTTGGAAACTTTAATTACCAACTGAAATAAGTTCGCTTTCTTACCCAAAGAATAATGCAATAGTACCCGTGGAAGCAAGTCCAATGGTGAAGAGATTTTTTGGGCCAAAAAATGGCATCGGAAAAGATTTGTCTTGTTGTATGTGATAATACTAATTGATTTATCATAATTTTGTATATCTTACCAGTTTTCCAGCTATTGGCGATCCCAGAAATATCACCAGCTCGAATATTCCAAAAGTCAAACCTATCTCAAAGTCGGAGAGACCTTTTGTCTTGGCCTAGAAACGATTGGTAATTGTCCAGCACAGATGAATTTTCTGCATTACCTCTTTGGGATAGAAAGGAGCTATACAACTATAAGCAACAACGGAGAGTAAATTTGCGGACGCAAGCATCACTAGAATACCCCATTCCCGAGACGAAAATGAGGAAAATGTTGTCTGAAATTGCATAGAGTGTTATGTGTTGAAAACTAGTTTAAGCTAGCAGTTTCGTACCTTAGAAGCATCTGTGTCGGCTGAAATCAGGAGAGGTTGGGTTCTGGAAAATGAGAATTCTATGAAAAGGTGGCGATGATGCAAATGCACACTAACAAAAGATATTGGAAGGTTTTCCCATAAGGTATATCCATAAATTTGGTTAGGTAAGAATAAGGCTCGGCATAGATTGTATGGAAGAGGGCTGGACTTCGTTTTGGGGCAAAAAAGCATAGGAGTTTTTGAGGCCAAAAATTGCGACGTTTTAGTTTTCAAGACCAAAAATTGGGACGTTTTTTAGTCGACGTTTGGTTTTTGAG